GAGAAAAACGCAAAAAGAAGCTTCGGTTGGAAGAAAAGACAGCTGTTATTATTATTCTATTTATCTATCTCTGTCGCTCTATCGTAACCATTTGATATTTGGTGATGTTGGTCACAGCTGGAGGTCGGTGCATTCAATTGAAACGTGAGAATTGAATAGCTTTTTATCGATCTTTTCTCTTTTTTCCTCTTTCCGTAGTGGATGGTGAAACAGATGTGTACACTATGTGTTATCGTGTACCTTTCTTTCGATTCTTCTTCGATCGTCTCTTTTATTTTATTCCATTTTTATTGCGTTTACTTGCAATTTCATTTTTCGAAACTATTCCAAATGCATCCGGAAATAAAATATTTCCCGTGAGTGTGAACATATTGTTCAAAAAGACATCGATGACAAATGAATGATTAAGAATAATAACAGTCTCCAGCATTCCTTAAAAAAATATTGAAGGCAGCTGAAAGACACTCAAAACATACACAAAAATTCCCGCTCGTTTTTTTTATTTTTCCATGGAAAAATCGCAAAAATAACGCAATTTTTGATACCCGCAGACTACTCGACTTCCAGAACACTTTTGGGATAGGTCAGAACCACCTACTTCATAAGATTCACTTCTAGCTCATTTCATAACACTCATGTATGAATGCAGATTACTCTATCATATGATGTGATATTGAGTGGAGCAAGGTGATGCAACCTGGCCCAAAGTGTGCTGGAAGTCGAGAAAACTTTTAAGATAACACAACGTATTTTTTTAAAGGAAGATAATAATACCATAATTATTCTTACCCATTCAAATAATACGCGACACAGAAAAAAATAAATAAAAACAACAAGATGTGACGCAGGCACAATGTGGCTGTGCTATTTTTATGCTGTTGGTGTATGAGAACGTTTCTACAATACCAACTATGATGAAGAAATACTTCAACGAATTCTTTTTTTTTTTTTGCTTTAGTGCTTGAATTGTCAACAACACTATACTAACAAATATAATTCGAAAGGTCCACAACCTTTCTTACTGTTCGTTCAACACTTACGGTTCGAGTCTTTTTTTTTCACTTTTCTCCCGCTTTTATAAATGAAAATTGCGATGAAAGTCGTCGAAAAAATATGATTTTATAGACCAACATGAGTGCCAATAATCGAGTGCTTTTTTTTAAACATATATGCTTCTTTTTATCAATACACAAAAGCTCGTATACACACATTAACGCCAAAATGCCACTTGAGGCTAGCCATCAATTTTGACAAAAAATTACACAAAATACGCTTTCTCTATGCGTGTGTCTGTAGACATTACCGAATTTAAGTTTTATATAAAAATTGATAATTCTACAGAAGATATTTGAAGATAATTTATATGAAAAGTTTTTTCTTTGTTCAATGTAGTTGAAAACGTTGTATTTTCGCCAAACTTTTGATCGATTCTAAAAGAAATCATTCTTTTCTTTATGTTCTTAATGGCTGTGTGTGTGCTTGCATGAGTGTTTTCGACAGAATAAATAATATTTCGTTAATAATCATATTAATGGTACTTTTAAATTTTTGAATAATTTCAACGGCATTTTTCAACAGCCCATTAAATTGACACAAATCCAGAAAACTTTGTAAATCTCACGATGGATAAATAGACAGCAAGAGAGCATATTAACAATAAATCTCAACGCAAAATCATTCGAATGTCTTTTAGTAGTGATACTGGTTAAAGTGCATTTCCGCTATTTGTAATAATCCACAACTCTGCGGGGATTTCTGATGAACTGGCATGATGAATTTTCTTCACTTGTAATACAGTGGCAACTGATGCATTGTAAATGGAAACTGTGAGTCAAACGAACATCTACTGAGTCTTGCTGCGAAAAGTATAATAACAACATGAATGAAAGTTTGTTTCTGGACACCGTGCTCACTTTTCTCCATTAAAATAGTAGTGTTTATATTCGGTTTGTGGTTGATTTAAATATTTATGGTTTTTTGATGTTGAAAGCAATATGCTTACTTTTTTGAATTGAAATTTTTTTTTTGTTGTTAGTGGTGTATCATACAGATATTTCCCTGTAGAGTAGTTTCATAAGCGCTAATATTATATATACAGATCTCGAATACTTGGCGCATACAAACACCGAACAAATATTCACGAAACACACGCAGGCATTCGATGGAAAAAAGCAAGAAATTTAAATATTAGGTACGAATTTTATGCTATCTTCTCATGCTTTCTCCTATCGTTAGTTTTTTTTGTCATGCCCTTTCACGCGATGGCTATGCAAGCATTTAGTTCAGTTTCCAGTTTTATTTTATTTGTTTTTATAAAAATAGAAAAAACTGGATATGAAACGAAAGCGTTAAAACACAGGCATAAAAATCCCTTTTGGTTTGGAACGATCATCACCTCTTTGTTTGGGTTTATCTCTCTCTCTCATTCTCTAACTCTCCTATAAAAATGTTTATCGAAATACGCTGATGTTGTTATTCTCAATTATTATTCAATTTGGGTTAATATCGATGCTTTGCAACCACAACTTGGTTTTGGATCTCAATGTCTTTTTTGCGTCGGTTGAAAAACCAAAGGAAAAGTAAGAGAGATTTGTGTGCAAATGCATTACTCGAGGCATTGAATCTAAAATGATGTTATTTCTGTAGTCGGATCCGAATAGTTAAGCTGAATCTAAAAGATTATGTTTTGGAAGTCCAAATTTAATTTGCTTATTCAATTTTCATTTTAATTATATTATAATTAAATGACATTCCTGATTGTTTTTATGCCATGGGATCGTTGCTGCTGCTATATAATACAAACGATGAGTAATGAGAGGAAAAAACTTTCGACAACTTCCAAACCATGGTGCCATCTCTTTTTTATTGAATGTCTAAACATGACACTACCATATTGTCTCTGCACTAAATATTATAATAAACGATAATTTATGACAAACGCTTAGAGATGGCTCAAGAAATTGAATTTTTTCATGTGTGTGTGATACGAAGCATATCTGATGCATATAGTGTGCAATGTGATTCCCAAGGACGCGTGTGATAAATATATTTTCCAAAATCGAAAGCACAGCGTGTCGGATAAGTTACTCTGGGGAGATTGTATAAACGCATCGATGCACTTATGCAACGCTTTTACTATTGAGTCATCACATAAGTAAAATATTGTCAGCACAAATAACCCAAATCAAAATATCATACATTCATTCAATAGCTTGTTCAAAAAGTGTAGCAATGACAATGCGCGCTTACGCATTCTCACATATCCACACTCAATCTGCGCATTTTCTCGATTCGATGGTACTCGCACACGATAAAGATAATATTCGATAAAACATGAAACACATCTTACGTTGTTTTCATCTAAAATTCACATTTCAATTTATCTAGATTGAAAAAGGCGAATAAACACTCTGTCTCTTTACCAAAGTAAAAGAAGTCGAAGAAGAGATATAGTTGAAGAGAACTGAAGAGAGAGAGTGTTTGTGTGTGTGTGCTTGTTTGTGTAACCGACTAAAAGTCGCTTGAATTTTATGCAAAGCATCGTATGACCCCATTGCATTTTCTATTTACGAATAATTTTGACGATGTAATAGAATTAAAGTTTAGATCGAACAAAAACAAAAAGAGAAAAACCAACAATAAGAAGAAGAAGAAGAAAACAAATAAACATGAATAAATTTAGATTTGGTAGTTGGCGTTTACATATTTTAAACCGAATTGCAAATCAGAAATACACACATCCTCAGAAATGGATGCAAACGATCGTAGTAAGTGGATTTCATGGAAAATCAATTCTTAATTGAATTATGTATTATTTGAAAGGCTAAAGAGTCAATGTCGTATTTGTTATATATGCACCTACCTGATGTGCAATATCATAATATCATATAGATAGATAAAAAACAATGCAACTAACAAACACATCCGACACGTACACAGCACCAAAAGCTCGATAAATATGCTTGAGTGTAAATGAAATTGTTGTTTTACGATTGGATGCAATTTCTATTACGATTGAAAGTGAACCATTTTGACTTGAATTTCGAACATGAATTCGTATTTTGACGTTTATTTTGAATTTCAAATTTGAAAATTATGTATTTTGAAACGAATACTCTCTGGCTGTATCTTTAGCCACAGGAGACGACAATGTGGTGACGTATCTGTTCGGTTTCGTCTCGAAAACTAAATGAAAAAACCGAATTCCACAAACTACTACAGCTAAAAATGTGCCATGAATGACAAATTAAAATTCATTTGAATAAATTTGAGAGAACGACTCCACAGCAGTGATACAGGATGATCGTGCTGTAATAATCATCCTGTTATATCTTCTTTTCGTAAAATTCGAAATAAATTTGTGAAATTGGAGCACTACCCGGGTGAACATTTTAGACTTTTGGGAAGGTCCGCCAGACGTTCGCCATACAAAAATTCGTTGGTTATATTACGAACGTCTGAGTGAATGTGTGAACTCTTTCCCAAACGACTAAGATGTTCACTTGGGTAGATATTGGTTTATGGGAAAAACATGTTCATGCTTAATTAAGAAGAGACAGAGAAAATTGGGAATCTCTTTGCTTATTTATATAGATTTACGTCACCATTTCCAATAAAATTATAACTTTGGAAATGTATATAACAGTTTTCACTGTTTGTTTGATTTAACGAAGAAGTTTTATTGGGAAGATGTATAATATGTACATAGGGAAACAATTTTCGTATGCCAAACATAGATATTCATACATCCAAGTTATTTCACACTATCTGTATTTTACATTTCAATATTTTGGATCAGTAATCTGCGAGCAAAATTTCTCAGGGGAGGGTGATTTCAATTTTTTTTTTTTTGGAAAATCCCTAGGAAATCGGAAGAACTTTTCTAAATTCCGAAAAACCCTAGCAAATTCGAATAATTTGGAAATCACAGGGGGGTAAGCCCCTCCTCTTCGTACATTACGCTTCTGGATGAATATGTATGCTTGGTTTATATATCTTACCTTTGGTGTATTGTTCATTTTTGGCAATAACTTTTTCCGCATTTTTCCGCGCCAGAAAGAACCATTCGGATGTATTGCCCAAGTATGGATATTCGGATGCAAGATCTTTGACCAATATGGCAAGTTGATCGGGTGGTGGTAAACGATGTGCAAATGGACAAAATAGACCTTTTTTTGCCAAATGTTGATTCCAGTCGAAACAGTGACCAGCTGCATAAATGTCATCATCAAATTCAACCATCGATAGCACGGACGCATGCAAAATATGCTCCGACATCTGAACCGGTCTCGATGACAGCTTGAATATTCTATGTTATCGTGCGCATTTACAGAAAAAAGAAGAAGAAAAAAAAACAAAAAATTATTATTTTTTATATGAACATACAGTCAATTTTAATAATCAATTTCTTTATGGCGAATGAACTTCGTTCGGATCCCCTTCGTTGTGCCGAAAATAATATATTTGCGTGCGCACACATATTTACTTCCTTTTAATTTTTAATTCCAAGTTTATCTGCATTACTTTTTGTGTGATATCATAAACTTGTTCAGCAGAAAATATAATATTCTCAACATGGGATCTTTTTTTCATTTACAAACATTTATTATTATGCACAGATTTGAACAAGTTCTGTAAACTTCAATAACAGTTATAAAAGAAAAAAAAACTAGTCACTCCATTTGGTGCACTTTATTTCAGGCTTGCTATGTGTGCGTTGCACAAACAAAAGATTAAATAAATGTGCAACTTTGGAACAAAAAGAAAACATTTATTTTAATCAATTACGTGCGTTTGAAGTAATATTCGATTTAAAAAAAATTAATTAAGTAAAAAAAAGACGGAAATATAAAAAACGGGATACACTCAATTGGCATTAACATTCCCAGAAAACGGATTCCCTATATTAATTACACAGTATGGAAAAAGTTCAATATAAAATGGAGAAAACAACAAGAGAGATACTAACAACGAAAAAGAATGGCATTTCGCCGTTTACGTTTGAAAATATATTTTCATTATGTTTTTGTAGCCATCGATTTGAACATTGCTGGACGTGTAAATTCAAAGTGTTTTCATTACACCATAGAAAATGCATGCCAATCAATTACATAAACCGAAAAGAGAGAAAGACAGAGAGAGAGAGAGGGAAAACCAGCGCATACTCTACCGCAGGCCATGCATCGGTTTGAGAACGTTATCATGTTATGTTGTTCGACATTTGGGTGAAAAAAAAAACATGCAAATTTATGATCACAAATGTTTATATGTTTGCACACTTTTGTTTGGTATTTGTATTTTTTCGGATTTTTATCTTCGTACCATGCTGTTCAAATAGTAAATTCAAATGGCGCAGCACAAAAAACACTGTGGCTACGGTAACGAATAGCTGTCATTTAAATTTGGAGTGTTGTATCACTCAGGCTGACGCCAATTACAGACAAAACAAAGTAGAGAAGTGATGGTGTGACGAGAGCAAGCGAATAACAACAGCAATCATTCCTTTTGCATATTATACAAGCAATTTTTTTTTTATATTTTAATAGATTGCCTTCGAATTTCGCAATCATGGCCGTATATATTTCGTGAAACTTTCTAGGGTAATAATAATTTTCAATGCTCTCTCATCATCACCCAGAATGGGGAAAGGCCATAACACATTTTCAAGACAAATATAATAACATATATTTTAGTACTGTTATAGAATTTATTCCTTCTTTATAGGATTCATTTTCATATTTGTCTGCCGATTCAAAAGAGTGACTTTTAACATTTCGATAGTGCTTGTCATAGAAAAAACAAATTGAAGCAAAAAAAATATTTTAAACAGAATGAGTGACAAAAATGTTGTGTGTAAATTGCTGACGAATGAAGAAAAAATGACACTGTAAAATAACTGCGTTTATTTTTTTCTTCTTCAGAAAATCGGCATGAATATTAGCACTTACACTGGATGATTCAGTAGAAAATTGCAGCCAAGCCGCCCCCACTGGCTAATGTCAGTGAAAATCTTAAAATATGTGTAAACGCATGAATAATTTCATTTGAATAGGAAGCCCACTGCATAAGCGGGAGAGAGAATATTGTCATCGAGTTTTGAAACGTGAGAATTTAGAACATTTTATTGAAATATTTTCAAGATTGATCAGAGCAAATAACACTTTGTGGACAAAATCTCCTTCTGTCATCACTAGAAAATGGAATAACAGTGGGACCAGAAGAGCAGAAACGGATGAAAAAAGCATAATTCATTTTTGATCGACGGCAAATTCTTTTATGTTGTTCTTCGGCCTTTGTATATGTTAAGTATCGAAGAAATTGTGAAATTCATGGTTTTTGTTGTGTCATCTCGCTTCTTTCACAATTTCTTTTCTATTTTCATCGTTTTTGTTGGTAAATAAAAATGCGATACGCATTTTTGAGCTGCTGAGTGATTACACACATTCACATCGCAAATGCTTTACTGCTTTTTCCAAGTAAATTCGTACAATGTTTGCTTGTCCGCATTCGATAATAACAACGGAAAATGAATTCAGAACTTGAAATCGTAACCCATTTCGAGAAACGGAAGAGAAAAAAAAGAAAGTAGAATCTATCTATGCACAAAACACATTACATTACTCCAACTATTTAACAATATTCATTGGCTTGCTACATTCATGGAAAATTATTTGGACGCTTCGACTCTCATGGTAAAATAATAATGGCATGATTTATTGTTTACGCAATGTAAATGTAAACAAAATCATTTAAGCAAACAAAAAATGTGAAATGGTTATACTATAGGATTGATTGGCGAGAAAAAACCCATGTGTACCCTTTTTAATTTAATCATTTAATTTTTCAACTAGTTTCGAAAGTGACCACATGGAAAAAGTGTAGAGAATGTGGAATAACTTTGTTTTGTGAATAAATCATTATTAACCATACGGAAGTAAAAATATTATGAAAATTGAGTAAAAATAAAGTAAAAATATTATGAAATAATAATACTCTGTTTTTCGAATAATTTAAACAATTATGTGCATTTTTAAATGAAATATGCTAGTAAATGTGAGCCAAATTAAAAATGCATTTTCAGAGCATTTATTTGTTTTGTTAATGAATTCTGAATTATTGCCGAAAAATAAAGACTTTTTTTGTGTTCTGGAGATGTTGGTGGATTTTTCCAAATCAAATACATACAATATGAATAATTTCTAAATTAAAATTAGAAAAAATTAGCCATTTAGAAACCTACTTAGTTCAACGCCGTTGAATCAACGGAGTATTTTGAAATTTTCAAAAAATCTACTCATTAGCGCATGGAAAAATTGTCTACCAGTCGCTTCCATGCCCTTTAATTTGTTGTTATAATTTGTATAAAAACCCTGATGATTTTTTTTGAAAAAAGCATTTGATATATTGTATATTACACTGTCATTGATTTTAGTATAAAAACGTCAAATTTTATTACACAGTATAGCAATAGATTTATATTTGTATAAGTATAATCATAGTGGACGATTACACGGACATAGTATGAACATTACACTGCGATGTATACTGTTTTCTTGTAATCGTCCACTACGATTATAATAATACAAGTATAAATCTATAGTATAACATTAGCTTAAGTGTGAGTATAAAATTTGACGTTTTTATACTAAAACCACTAACAGTGTAGCTAAACACATTTGATTTGGTCATTTAATAGTGTGAACGAATAAAAAGGGGAGCATATTTTTTTCAATACAGACTGGCACGAATACCGTAAATACTATTCAGTTGTTGCGAAAAAAAACATCCAGCACTTCCAAATAATTCCATTGTTCGTCTACGATACGAATTCATTCTTTTCGTAAACGATAAGCGGTATATACTTCCTCCTTCAGATTTTCACGCCCACTCTTTTTTTAAAGCTGTCTGTTTCTGTATGTTTTGAACGAAACAAATAAAGCCCGAAGCAAGAAGTAACAGAAGAATGAACAAAGAAATGCCAAACAAATAACAAACAAAAACTAACATTGTGTAGAAATAATTCTGTTGTTGTTGCTTAACTGTTTAAAGAAATACAGTCAGCGTATATATGGACCATTTTCCAAATATTTTTGTGTTGCAAATATAAGCAGGGGGTGGTAAAATCGTGTATATTCTACAGTGTATTTGTTTTTTTCGATTTCTCACCATAAATTCGCTCTAAGCCGATCCCGGCAATAAAATCCCTCAAAGAAAAATGGCAATTTTCGATTCACAACAATTGAATTATAAATGTTTCGAACCATTAGATATCATTTGGGACTAAAAGAGAAAGCTTTTAGACCTCTTTCTAAATGTGTTTTTTTTTCTGTGTGATGTGGTGCAATCCAAATTAAATATTTATAAACTCTTTGAAGCAAAATCAATTTGATTTTTCAACTAGGTATTCGGTTTCTTTTTCTGTCTCTACTTCTATTCTAAACACCAAACACTGCATCGTTAGATCTGTATCAATAGTCAATGAAATATTAATAAATTAATCCGATCGATAGCAATATAAATGGAGCGACTCGACTTCATATGCAAGTCAAAGTGAATTCATTTTTTTAAGTGATCGCACGCTACGGATACAACGTGATGTGAGGGCACAGAGCAAACATTATCACAGAGAATATAAACACACACACATGTACAAAAACTTCGCATTGGGGCGCGTTTCTGCAAAGAGCCTCTTTGAAGCTCGACGTTTTTTATTCATTTATTCTAATATGATTTCGTGTTTATTTTTTTTACCAATTTTTCTGTTCTGTTCCATACGAAGACTATGCATTGGGGCATTGAATACAGGTGTAGACAGTTCACTTCTCGTAACATTGGGTTATAAACGACGGACTAGATGAGACTATGCAAACGAAAATGGTCATCTCTTTTTCAACGCATTTTTTCCTCTCTGCGTGCGTGCTTATGAGCGCCGTGTATAGTAATTTTGCTTGGCAAATGGCAACGTGTATTGAATAACACCAAATGAATTGACATTTATAATCCGTTCATCAAAAACTATTACATAAGCTAAGCTTTGTATTGACTTCCCTTTTTTTCGCTGCATTATATTTTTATTGGTCGCAACGAGTTGCGGCTTCTTCATCATCGTATACAATTAGTATACTATGGATTCAAATTTCCGTGCGGATGCTTGCCAGCCAAATGGTTTAAGTGAAAATAATAAAAAGGCAGCATTTGTCTTATATCATTACTTTCTCACATTTTGAATGTGCGCAAGTAACGACTTGGAATGTACACGGACGTCCGAAAGAAAAAGAGTTCTACTATTTGTTGCTGATGTTGTTTCTTTGAGTCAGTGATTTGGTTTTCTGTCTGTCTGTCGTGCCCATATCTTCAATCTAGTATTCATGTTGTGCACATAGTCAAATAAAGTGTTGATCCTTTTGCACGCTGATTCTATATGTGTAGCGGATCAACATTTATTCAACTAAGTATATATATTTCGAATAGCTACAGAATCATACTACAGTTGATTGCTTTTTTCCCATAAATTCACAACATATCATTAATAATAGATATGATTCGTTTATATTTTTTGTTCTCTTTTGCCAATGCAGAGTTATTCATTGGATATGCGATTTTGTTTTGTTCGTACGGCATTTATATTTGTTTAACTGGCCATTTTGAACGCTTTTTATTGTGCTTCTTTTCTTTTGACAGCAACACACAAACCATTCAAAGAAAGAAAGAAAAAAGAAAGAAAGAAAGAATACCACTTTAATCGCTAGCCCTTTCTCACATTTGACGTATCCGAAAGAAAAAAGTCACAACAAACACATTTACCATTTCGTCCAACGTACAATTTAATTTGTTTGAATACAAACATGAAAGATGATGGCAATGATCATTTTTCTTTTCAGAGCAAAACATTTTGCTCACTCACTCACGCAAAACATCCACACGTAATCATGTATCTCATTTCCATTTCAATTTGCCCGGCATTTTCAATCGAATCCATTTTCACTTTCTCTTTTCCTCTCTCTCTCTTCTAATTTTCCAAAATATTTTCACAGAAATGAAAAATTACACAATAATCTTGAAAATAGAGTTTTATTAAGCGAACAAAAGGAAAATGTAGACGCATTAATGATAGCAGAATGATTTTCATTGCCGAGACCGATTTACTTTTTCTTTTCTTTTCTATTTTCGCTGTCAAATGTTTTCCCTTTTCACTCAATTCAACTTCCTTTCTTCTTCTTCTTTTTTTTGCCAAATCTTTATTGATGTCAGTTCGTTTTGATTTGGAGAAAGCAAACCCTCATCTAATCTGTCGGAGGGAGTAAAAAAATGTAAAGAACTCGATAAAACCAAGAAAATTGTTAATTTTTGTATCAAGTTCTTTGCGTTTGCTTTTCTTTCAACCCCAAAAAATATTCGATTCGAATAAAAAAAATCATATAATAATGGAAGATACATATAAAACACAAACCTGGTCAGCATATTTGCACGATTGACAGCTACCTCGGCTTCAATTTGAAATCGATCTTGTGCATAGCGATCAACAACTCCTTCGCCTAAATTGAGCGCTGTACCGGCTGTACAATTGGCACCCATATGATGTTGTGATTCTACAATTTGTAGAAATTTTGTGACCACATCGCGACCTCTCTGTAAATTCAATCGATTGTTTCGACTAATTTCGTCCAAGTCATCAAGATCAAGATCTGAAACTGGCAATCGAATGATATCATTTGAATCAATAGTTTTGCCATCAATATTAATGGTTTGTTCATCGAATGTGAACATTGTGTTCGGATCATCGATGCCGCTGTCATCGCTGCTAAACTCTGATTGTTGTTCGTCATTTAATTCATTATCATCGAAGGCGGATGCGGATGGTGCTGACGCATAGAAACCATTATTCGTTTCGTACTGATTATTTAAATTTGCATTTGATTTCACTTTTGACTGAGTTGAGTCGTTTGGTTTCGTCATATCCGAATCAATATTATGCTGTTGCGATACAAGTGATGCGACCGATGATATCGGTATATCGGAGATTTTTGCTGTATGCCCAATGGAATGTGTATCTTTTCGCTTTTCATTTGCTGATTGCAAACGTGATGCCATTTTACTATTGCTTTGTGAACGTAAATTGGCCTTGGTGGCATTTGAATTTCCATTTAAATTGGTTCTATTACCACTATTGTTGATCGCTTGGTCGAGATATTTTTTTGAAACGGCTGCCACTATCGAATCAATTGCCTTTATCGTCGCAATACCATTGCTGCGGCCAACTGACGATGGCTCATGAGCATGTCGTGGATTTGATTTATTCAATTTGTTCGATTTGTACGGATGGTTTTCATGTTGATGGATATTTTCGTTGTTTGGTTCGTCATTTTGTATTTCATAGTCAAAATGATTTGATGCTGCTAAATTATGGTCAGTAAAGCGATTGTTACCAATTATTTCGTCATCGGCGACGTTCTTGCCATCGTCTTCATTTTGAATTTGATGGGTTTTCCATTGCAGCAGTTGTATATTGGTTTTGTGCTTTTTATGATTTGATTGATTGTGTTCGATGCGTGGATGATAAAATAATCCCAGCGAAGATGGCAATGATGGTGATGATGATGATTTTAAGCGCATTGAATTAGTTTGAGTCGATGAAAATGAGCCGATTTCTTGAGACTGTGATGATTCATTGTGGATTTCAATTTTGCGTGTTCGTTGCTTTTGCTTTGGCTGTTGCTGTTTTTCTGTTTCGTGCGTCAATTTTTCGGCTTGCTTTTGTAGTTGCAACAAAGCTTTTTCACTGGGCATTACAGCTGTCGGTTGTGTTAGATGTGCATGAGTTCGCAAATATTCAATACCTTCTTCCACGTTCTTCCGGATGTTTTCCATAATTTGCTTTTTTGCTAATTTTTGATTTTTCGATGGTGTACTCAGTGTTGATGCCGACCAACGGTTACTGCTCGCCAATGACGGCGCTAATGTACTTAGCAATTTCGAATCACTATTAATGTTGGTGTTGTTGCTGCCATTGCTGCTCACATTATTGAAAACCATTTCAGATGAGAAATAACCAAACGATTCGCCACCCGAAAATGTTTGATTTGCGCCATTTAATCCAAAATCACCGAAAAGAGTTTCATTGCTGCCATTTGTGCCATTCGTTTCATAATCATAATCGTATAAAGTTAGATTATCGAATGCTTGTAAGCCCCATCGAATGTGATTCTTCTCGGTGGAATGACGTACACGTGAGCGTCCATGCCGAATGATTAACATATCGGATGACGATGCTGACACCCATGATAAACATATTTGCAATGCTTCAATTAAACATATTAAACCGAAAATGAATTGCAAACCATTTGGACGAAACGGATTAAAAGTCATCATCATTGTATTCCCGTAGAAATGTCAAATTGTATATTTCGATTGAGCGCCTACATTCACACAATTATCGACGCGTTGACTTTAATTTGATCTTATCCACACTATTCGATTCGTATTTTCTCGCTTTTGCTTCTCGTTTCGAATGGAATTTTGCACCAGTTTTGCATTGGCTCACTCGATCGCCTACAATTTTCTAATTATTTCGGAACTGATTGGTCTACTCTATTCGAGGTTTTATCGGTTCAATTACGAAGCTCAAATTGGTGCCTCCAGCAAATTGTTTGACGATTGGCCGGTTTTTAGTTTTCCATAAGTACTTTAAAATAACGTTCACTTCACACATTTTCAACGGTGTTGTTGCATTGTCAAAGCTGCATACGGTACTGATGTTGCTCTCTGTATTCACTAATTTAAAATCGCGTATCAACCTTATTTTTTAGTTTTGTTGTCAACACTATAAAAACGAGAGAAAGAGAAAAAAGATCACATGTAATTTAGCTTGTTTATGCAAATTTTATGCTTAATTACAAAAGTTATTTAATTGAATTAAACCAATTTAGAAGATTAAACACGAACTGTAATTGTTTGAACAATAATGATGAGCGAAAAATTAATAATGATTTTGATTTGATGCCTATTCAGTGCTCTGAACGACCCTTCGAAAATTTCTATTTTGATTCAGCGATATGAACAGTTCTATGGTGCAAAGAATACTGAATACTGACGCGCATTGGTTCAATTTCCAACCTGTTTGTTCGTGATAAAAATAAACAAAATCTTTCTCTGAATTAATTCTATTGTTCAATATTGTGTATCGAATCATGTTGATGCTTTAAAATTCTGTGATTCATTAACATTTGATACATTATTGCAAAATGTTGAACGTTGTACAATATTACAATATTATAAGATGAAAGCGTACAGATTAAGTGTCGTTAATAGAGGAGTTTGAAAGCCTCTATTGAATGTTTACATATTTGTTTTGAATTGGAAATTTGTATTTCTTGGTATTATATTGTAATGATTTGATGCCATACTGTGGAAGCGATGTCTCTTTCCTATACAAAATCACTACTAAACTTTGTTCAATATATTGGCCCTCTATCAATGTTTTTGGTACTAATTTACTAAGCAGATGACTTAACATCACATCTTGTCAACTGTCTGTGAACGCTACAACCCGTGTTTTCTCTATGTGCCTTTGAAATGGCACGGACGCAGAAGTCTGCACCTTTGCGTATATGTATAAAGAATGAAAGAGATGTGAGAGTGTAGCTACATATGTGTAAGTGTGCGACATTAGTTGTACGTCTGAATACAAGTGAACAGTATCATCATTGAATACGCAAAGGTGCAGACTACTGCGATTGTGTCATTTGAAAGGCACAACGAGAGAACACGGGAAACTCTTGTATTATTGGTTCGGATAAAAATTGTTAGTGGTGCTCACTTTGGAACAAAGAAATTCGTTTGCTTCCATCCTTTGTTTGATGCATAATGTGCAGGCATTCACTTTGAATAAATTCTTGTGTTGCTGAGTGTGATTAAGTGTGAAACAAAGTGATAAAAGTGTGCAAACTGACATAAAATATATTTATTCGGGTATAACTGGTGTTTGTTACCTAATAAACATTTCCTTATGAATCGCTTCGATCGTTTTTCGGATGATACAAAAACGCAAAACATGTTCATTTTTCATATGTTTCACCAATTTGAATAGACAGCTTCGATGAAAAACTTTTTTGGTCCAGCCTAATGAACCACATTTCGTTAGCATATCTCACTGCTGTAAGACTCTTTTTTTATTTTTATTCTGCATTGTGTCCATGGTAGCAAAGACGAGAAAACAGAAAAAGAACTAATTTTCTTCGTAAATTTGTATTGTTGTTGGCCGGCCAATATTTTTCTAGAAAAAAATCAACAACATGATATGCGGTTGAAACCTCTTATAGTTTGTTATTCAACTCGTTATGCTAATGACGTTACCATTGTAAAAGCTTTTTTTTTAAATCGCATATGGCTGTTTTATTTTTGTTCCGTTTGATTCTTCATCGTTTTTTGTGGTTGCTGGTTTTATATTTTTATTCTATTTTCCTCATTATAAAAAAATCGTATTGAATAAGATCCTTTGTCACAAATTAAAATGTATGTCAGAGTTGCTCATAGTATTGGTGAGATTTTTGACTGCCATTATTTCTAAGTTTCACTAACTATAAAAACACATTTTTTTCTGAATCACATCGCTGAGGAAAGTTTTCAAATTCTCTGTCATTATCGATGTTTTCATGAGCGGTTTTGTTGATAATGTTCAGATTAGTAAACTATTTTAAATGCGCGTCTTCGCATACTTAATGCTCACCGCGTTAAGAAACTTATTTATTATTACTAATATATTTTTTATCGGCGAATTAATGCTGCGCACTAGAAGAAAAGGTTCAGAGTGAGCTGTAGAACAGATCAGAATAAATACTAGAATAAACTCAGTAATCTTGAACGGTATATAATGATCCAGTGCGTGATAGGTAGATGAAGCGACATTTACTATTCTCATTGGATATTGGAGTGAAACATCTAGACAGCTGAATACACAGATTTTTGTTTTTGTTTGTTTTCTTTACATTGATTGTGCGTGTTCTATTCAAATGGAAATTCACAATGTGTCGTATATTCATGTTTGGCATATTTTAATAAAATATACAGTCAGCAAGAGAGAAAGTAAAAGTTGAATTAGTTTGTCGAGTTTTGTGAAAGACATGGTAAGCTTTTAATGTAAAAAAAAGTTGCGGCAGCGGAAAATTGAGTTTGCTTTCGATTGGTTTTTGATTTACAGTTTTTACGCCGGCCGTGTGAAAATTCCAGACACCAAAGTAAAGCGTTCACCTCATAAATGTAACCATTGCCAAATTATAGTCAATAAAACACTTATTTACCGCTGGTGTACATACGCAGACACACGCGCAAACGCATAATGTGAAAGAGACAGATTTTTTTTTCTTTATTATCGTTGCTAAAGCTAAAAGTCGAAAAAGACATCGTTGAAATGTCTGAGTTTGATTGCTTTCTTTCCTGTTTACTATTGGATACGTTCTTTTTTGCTTTCAAACTTTTAACATCAATTCGTACAATTCCAGTGCTCAATTTTAATCAGAATGTAATATGCGTTCGCAAATGTCAAATGAATCTTTTATTTATTTGTCTTCGATGGCATTTCTTTAGTTAAGCCGACAATACATTATCGAATTGATTTGTTGTGAATTTTCCGTTTTGAAAATTACGTCCTGATCTCCATATCAAAATAAAAAAAATTGTTTGCAGTCGACAAATATTCGCATCAATGATTTTGATACTATGGGTCTGAAGACTGAAGGTATCATGCGAAAAGAAAATCAACCGAGGAAACCCAAATACCCGTATCGAAGAAGCCTCACAGTTTACACGCCAAGCAAATTCCAAACAACAACAGCAATAATAATAAATGCACCAATACTCAAACTTTATCGAGAAGTCAGCACGCAGCTCTTTTTCGGCGCAAAAATATTTCAGCAAAATATTTGGTGTGTTTATTCAACTATGAACCACATTTTTACCAGAGATTTCGATCGACACGTTTACACATACAAAATTGCCAGATTACTATATAATTGTGTTAAAACGAAACAGATTTCTTTTAACGCTCATTTTTGAGCGTTCTATGGAAAATATAAATCTTTTACGCATCTCAATCCCAAATCTGTGTATGCATGATTTAAAAAAAACTTAGTATCTCGTTCATGATGCTCAAAAAAGAAGTTCATGCCTCGCTTCGGTTAAATGATATTTGATTCAAACCATAGCTACAAACCGTAGCCTACAAGAAAACTTTTTAGTTCACATAAATTTACCCGCAGCTTTTTTTCGCCTCATAGCAAAAGTTATGCAGCTAATAAAAACTTCAAAGGTGTTGAAAATGCGCTTGATGATTTTTTTTGCAGAATTTGGATTTACATGGATGTTTCTTTTCAAAAAATAAAAAAAGACCAAGTCCATTTGTTCCATTGTAATGACTTTTGTTTTGCTTCATATACAAAAGGGTTATTATTTCACTCTTGAGCAACACTTCCCGGTCAATGATTTTTAATTTTCAAGAAAATACAAATTCATGGTATGTTAGCATAGGTGATGACGAGGGTTCCTAGGGTTCGGATTACCCCCTCTAAAATATTTTTAGGACCCCTCAACAATTTTGGAAATGAGGACCTTTTTCTTCTTTTTTTTGCTTTTCACTTCTTTCGATTTCGGTTTTCGCCAAAAAAGTGAATAGAAAAAAAAAACAATTTTATCCTCATTTCCTACAAATTGTTGACATCGTCAGGGGCCTCCCATGGATTTTTCCAGGGACCCCTTACGATATTTTGCCATCACCCCCCTCTAAAAAAAATTCCGTCATCATCTATGGTATGTTAGAGCTCATTAATGTTGAGTGCAAAAAAGATAACGAGAAAAAATGCAGTTTGGGAAAATAGAGGGGGCGAGAGTACAAAACAATAAAAAAGCATGCGAGAGCCCCGCAATGTAAACGATTGATTTTGAATGATGAACCCGTAGAGTTCAAAGGTGAAAATCCCACACAATGTTTGGTGTCAAGTTTTTTTTTCATGGATATTGTCATTTATTCAGGACTTTCGATTAATTATGTTGAGTTTGTCGGTCGTAAATGAAGATGCATGCCATAAATAGACATTCTCCGTCCAATTTATGTCTTTGATATCAAATGTCGATGACTTTTACGTCAACGTTTCGATTCGTCTTGGCTGGCTTTTATCATTTTCTAAGCCACAATGAATACATTTTTGTGTGTTGAATTGAGCGTCTCTTTGTCTTAAACCAAAACATTTCCACGAAACAACTTATGAATAGGTAATATATATTTTTTGCTTCAAGTTCACTTTCAGTCAAATGAACGTCAAAAATGGATGATATAATATTCAAGAAATCAGTAAAAATAAGCAAGTTCAAAGTGACATACTAAGATAAAGAGCGAACGGAATGAATTTCCAGTGATGAAAGGAATGGATTTGTTAAATGTAATCGACATCGACGTATATGTTTTTACATGCATATAACAAAGCACGAAACCAATAAACAGCACATAATAGACCATGATCACTTCTTATTAAATAAGGAATTGGTTTTTCGAATAGAGATTTGGAAGACGGATGTACGATGATGGTGGTGAATCCAAGAAGCACAAACCTGGCTTGGAAATGGAAAACTTAAATGAATACTAGTTCATCAAGTTAATTTTCTAATCATTGAAAATATGATTCATTTTGCCACGTACGATGCGTATTCAAGTGTGCTTTCAGGTCTTTCCCTTTAAAACATTCTCTACCTCTTTCATGTAACATTCGGTTCCGACCATTTGACGAGGGAAAAAAAGGCGATTTCATTTTAGAAATTACATAAAACTCATTC